TTCACTGAGAGGGGTGAAATAGGGTTTACATAAACATGCACACAAAAGACTCTGGTAAATGGGTCTGGTAGTTGCTGTCCTGCTCATACATAAGCAACTTTCAGTTTCTTTTAATAGAGGAAACACAGAAAGGTGGAACAGTTTCTTTCTTAGAAACCAGAGAACCAAGAGACACGACACTAGCATATTACAATCGTTTGCATCCTAACAAGATCCATTTATTTCATAACTCAGAGGGAACTTTTTCTCTATAAAACCAATCAAGAAACCCCCGACCTACTTGGATGAAAGCTATTTTTAGCCTACCACCAGTAGATTAAAGTAAGGGTGGCTACATGCTGCATGGAAAGGACACTATACTTGTCAGTTCCTGCTGCCCCCCCCACACACACACACACACACACACACATATGTGGAATTCATCACTGCTACTAAGTGCCTTTCTGCCTGCTTTCTCAGACTACACAAACATAGGCTGTAAACATAACGCTCGCTGCAGAGCATCCCAAATTCAGATGCTCCTGGAATGCTAACATGGTGGTGTTGGATTTCCCAGCTACCACTGCTCCCTCTTGAGTTGAACGAGCTACAGTTTCTTTCAGTTCAGAGGTCAACAATTAATGAAATGTGACTGCCAAACCTGTTTGCTTCCAGCCTTTAGCTACCTCGGAATGAACTGAGGGCTCTTTGCTGCAAAAGTGATAGAAACTGCCTTGTTAACACTGTCTGCCTGCACAGACCGCAGGCAGTGAGACAGTTTGCATGAGCTTTGATAGCTACTATGAAATCCAGCTAAGGACCGAGGGTGTCAGATTCCCGCTGTGAGCCTGTCATCTGCAGATATCCCATCTCAAGTCCTACATTGCACCTTCACACTCACTGAATTCTACATGCGTAAAGTTCCTAATAACGGAGAAGCTCCAGGGATATTTTTTTTTTTTTTTTAAAAGGACAGTATGTGCTAGTTCTTATGCAGCAGATATTTTCTCGGCTGACACCAGTCTGACAGCATGGGTCTGCTTGGGATGAGCCAGAAATTGTGGATGTAATGGGATGGAATGATCTGGAGTTGTGCCCAAGCCTCTTAAAATGCTCACCAAGTCATCACACTGATAGAAATGCTTTCCTCACTAGCACTTAGAGAATAACATATAATAGAAAAAATGTATATTTTAAGAGGCCTTTCTGCATATGATAACTGATTGTTATCACCAAATATAGCAGTCCCACTTGTATTAGCCTACATGAAACATTAGACTAAATCAGTAGGATACTCTAAATAGGTGGTCCAATTCTATCCAAATGACAGCTCAATTTTCTTTGTAGAACCAAAAAGTAAAGAAAAGCCCCAGAATGGTCTTTAGGGACTGATATGAATATGAAAAGCCACCATTCTACGCTTTGTCAGTGGGACAAAGGACATGGCTGTGAAGCTGGGAGACGAGCCCTCATCTGGCTAAGCTCTCAGAGCGTCCGTCCAGAACTCCATGCATTCCTCTGTTAATTTCCCCTCAGTGGGCAGGCACTCTCCCTGCCAGGGACTTGTCTTACCTCCGGTCTGACCGCAGCAGCTGCATGTGTTTGGACAACCCAGCCAGGAAGTGCTAGTGAAGAGCTCTTCCTGTAAGACCCCTGGGATCAAAACGGGTCATGGGGCCCTAGCAAAAACTCCATCCCCCTCTCTCGGGCCTATGATGTGATGTCAAAAATATAACATAATCTGACCAACAAGAATAGCATCTTTCTTATAATTATTATTTATTCTAGTTGTTTCTTATCAATTTAAACTCCCCCTCCATATACAAATAAAAATAAAAACACAAGTCTATTTTTAAAATGTATTTTGTTTTTTCCATTTGGGCAAAGGTGCTCGCAAATGCATGTAACAGGTTTGGGCAGGTTTGCGCCTTCATTTGTTGTTTGGCAGTGAACAACAAAGATGATATAAAATTATTATTTAAAAATGTATAAAGAAGGCTGTCTGCATTTTTTTTTGTTAAATATGATGTTAGTAATAGAAATATTCTCAGAATATTTTGCTTCCTTGAAGTACTTAAACACTGTGGCCCTCCTATGAGATGACAATACCAGCAGAGGCCCCAAGCAAATGTTAGAATTTGAAACCCCTGACCTAAATAATTCCAACAAACAGTATCAACTCATCAAGTTTACTTCTACATCAGCCACACTGCTGCGTGGTGGCACTATGAAGGTTACACTGTGACCTCTCTGCTCGAAGCCCTGCCCAGCTCATTTTGGTGTTAATGGAGCACCACGGAACAAATGTTTGGGGCGGCGGCGGTGTTAAACATGCCGGGGTCAGTGTCTATCCCATGGCAACCGCTGGGATGCAGCCTCCTGGGAAAGCAGACATTCCGCAGAGCAGAGCTATACAACTGCCTGGTTACAAAAACACCGCAAGTCTTGACATGCACCCCATTCCAGAGGAAGAACGCCAAAAATCTAGTGGAAACACACACACACACACACACACACACACACACACACACAGACACACACACACACACACACACACAACAACACAACACAACACAACACCAAAAAGTAGTAATGAAGCCAATTAGGTTAGATTACTCATGTGCATAGCCTGTGGTTTAAGTTATACAATAAACAGGTAGTTGTTATTGACTGTATTCTGTGCATAAGGACTAATATCCTGCGACAACAGCAGGAGATGCAACACGTCTAATTAAATGACTGCTGACTGACCAACTAAAACCTTTTTTTTTTTTTACAAAAGTGGAAGTTAATGTAAAGCGGAGTGCGACATGAGTGTGAATACATGTTGGTTGGTTGTACTGTTGTCAACATATACAGAAGGATCACTCTCTACATGTCGATGTTGGCCGTATCCCTCTACGACCAACACAGGCGAAAATTTACTAGAGACAGATCCGACAGATCAAATCTCCTCTGACAGGATTACTGGCCTACACTTTCTAACAATGGATGATGAATAGGTTACAAAGCGGTTCAGGTAAAGGATATGAAAGGGAAACACACACACCAACCCACAGACTGTACCACTGTAGCAATTTACCGCCATGTCCTTAAACGTATTGACATTTTGATGACGCAAACTAAATCAAATGTCATAAACAATAGCCCTCCCCCCCCCCCACAGACTGCCCTGTGATCACTAATCTTGCAACTTGTTATATAAGAGCCCATGCTATAAGCTCAGGTGTCCACAGGCAATAGGCTTTTTAAGTCTATACACCACTAGTTAATTAATTTCCTGCAAAGTCTAGCCAATAATTTGCCAGAGGTATCTTTGCCAAACATTGATTGCTCAAGTCAGAATAGATGACACAATGGGCTCCTCAGTCCGCCCACAGATCTGTGAGGGAGCCAGCCTTGACTGCATGACATCTCCGAATTGGATTTCCGATTAGAAGGGTTTAATGTAATTACCTTGAGTACATTGTGCAGTCTGCTCTAAGTAACACAGTGATGCATCACCTCGAGCTTCGTCGTAGCACTTGTCCCTTAAAAGAAGGAGGCAGGCACGGGGGTCCCAGAGGGGGCAATATTATATTCTGATTGACAGCCAGTTCACATGCATGTGCTCCGCATTATAATAAGGGCGCAGAAAAAAAGCCACTTGTAGGCTTCTGACATGCAACACTTAACCTGGCTGCAACTTTTATCTTAACAAGACTACAAGCGCTTCAATCTAAAGGCAGACATATAGATGAAAGCTGATGCAGCTTTAAGGTGTAGGCTCTCGTCAACAACAAAGCTGTGTCTTGGTTGGATCCTAATGTTGCATACAGCACAATGGCTGTTTCGAATATGCATCATATGGTTTCAGAACAGTATCTTTCAGCCCAGGGAAATTCAACAATCCTGTTGTGGTAAGCCTATAATTCAGATAACATCTCTAGGACAAAATGAAACTCAGAACTTATCAGCTCTATTAGATTGTATCCTATTATTTAATATTACCCGGCAGCTCTCATCTGCACAAAGTTAAAGGGATGGTACGTTAAAAAGAAGGCCCGGCTAAGCTGCCTCTTCATAACACTGGGAGGAATTTGATGCAATCTTACATTATCCACCACGGAGTAGGGACTCAAGCTCATTACCAAAGCCTTTACTTTAATATCTTCCATTTTAGGCCAATTTTGTCCTGTAGACCATCACTCCAAATCAGTTTTTGGCATTTGAATCTGAGCATCTACTGATCAATACTGTACACATGTGGCATGTGGGAAAGGGTGACAGGTACTGTATACTGAACAGTTTGCCTTCTTATCTCTAAATCAGAACTCAAGGAAGAGGACGAATAATCGGTGACAACCGAAAGCCTCGACATTGCAGCTAAACCTTTCTAACCTTATATGGTTGATCTTTTATAGATGTGAAAACCCACATCAAATGTTTATCTCACCAAGGACTTCCTCTTGTAACCACATATGCCAAGCTTGTACCTACAGGCAGCTGAACCAAGGAAAAAAGGGGGATTCAAATCTAGAGCTGTTCTAAAAAAAACATTTCCAAATAGTAATGCTTAAAAATGAAGGTCTGCCTCAGACAGACTGGCTTTCCCCTCCACCTTCACCACCAGTGTGCGTTCAGGTCTAGACTGCGTGTAAGCAATTAATAATAAATCTGTATTAGTTTCTTTTTTTAAAGGGACCGTGGGCTGTTCTGGTGCAGATTTCTGTAGTTAAGTTGCACAATTACCTACCAGGCCAGGCCGTTTATGCACATTACAGTACAGCTGGCAGGGACACAGAGCTGGGAGCTAACAAAGAAGCATGCCACTGCTCCTGCGCTGCACTGGATTAGGTTGTGTTTGTTTGGTAATGCAAATAAAAACAACAACAACAACACTGCTCTATGTAACCAGTGTTTTAAATACTACACTGGTAGGTATAACAGTACATGATCACACAGTAATGTGACAGGGACAACACTGCTGGCTGTCTCCCATTCAGCGATGTCCGCCTCTTCCTCCCTATTCCAGAGCCTACCTGAGCAGACTGGAGAGCGGATGAGAGGAGGCGCCGTGCCCGCCGCTGTTGCCACTTCCACCGGTCCCTGACGATCCGCTGCCGGTGCCAGCGGACTGTCGCTTCCCGGATAAAAGCTTCTCCACAGCGGCCAGGTTTCCCGTCCGCGCCGCTTCAAGAAGTTCCTGCTCCTTCCCCATCGCGGATCCCAGAAAAAAAACCCAGAGACGCGGGGGAAGAGAAGAAAAAGGGGGGCTTGGTTGCGGGAGTGAAATTCCTCTGCGATCCCCCCCTTTTTTTTTTTTTTTTTTTTTCCTTTTTTCCCCTCTCCCAACCTCAAGTTATTCCTCAGTACCGCTGCTGTGGCGAGGAAACAAAAAGCCCCCTGCGCCGCTGGATCCGTCCGTCCCGATCCACGGTGCCGCTGGCGCTCAAGGGGGGGAAAAGTTTCGTTCAGCAGCACGGTACCACCATCGAGCAAACTTCCTCTGACCAGTCCCCCAAGCCTCGTCCGTCACTTCCTCGAAACTGCCCTTTCTTTCTGCATCTCCAATCCGAAACCCTTCAGAGACACGCACATACAAACCCCTAGCGCCCCCGCCCTAGCTGCTTTATAAAAGAGGTGGATTGGCCACGAGCAAGATGGCGCAAGAGAACATGGCCAGAGAGCCACGATTATTCCCATCCAGTGTTTGCGATATCTGTTGCTGTCGAGAGTCCAGAGCAAAAAAAAAAAAAATGTCTCAACTTAACCTTTTATTTTTATTTACTGTTATTAGACACTCATACGGATATTGTTTACCATACACCACAGTTAAAAGACATGTCAGAAACTTGAATTTACTTTTAAAATGTGCAGCAGATTTCACAATTGTCGACTGATTAATAAGTAGGAAGCATTGTTGGAATTTGTGTCACCTCCCCTCAACGGGGCGCGAGCGCAAACATTTCACAACACCTGACAGTAAACAACAGGGAGTAAACAACAGGGAGTAAACAACAAGGAGTAAACAACAGGGAGAAAAACTGTCCAAACTGGGATTTGATTGGCTCTAACATCGTTTTAAACTTGTGTTTTAGGAGTTAAATGAGATAACTGTATTTTTAAAAAATCCCAAACATTAATAGCAAGAAAAAAAACCCCACAATAAACGACCTGTTTAATACTTAATGTAACATTATGCTGTATAATGCGTGTTTATTGTTTGTTGACAGTGGATCTATAAAGTTCGTTCAAAACAGGAAACGGAAATACGAATACCAGGCTATCAATAATAAGCGTATGGGTAGAAAACTAGCATTTTGATGCTATCATTCCTCTTAGTCTCGTTGGGGTTTGCTTGAATTGAATTTACTGGAGTTAATTTTGTTAATATTAGCCTTCTGTGTTAACGTTAACATTAAACGACTAACTCAACAGGCTAGTGAGGTGCTACCGTGAACAAGCTGGTGCTGGTTTGTTGACGCCTGGCTGCAGAGAAGGTAATGTGCATGTTGTATTCACGTTTTCTAATGATCTAAGAGTGATTATTAACATAAACCTTTTACTCTTTGTTATAAAGAGTCACTGTCGGGAGGGATTCAGTGATTATGGCCGACCCTGCGCGCATCAAACCTGAGGTTACATCCGAGAGAGCGACGTCTGCCAACGAGGAGCATCCTAAATCAGAGGAAAGTGAAGATGTGCCAGCCACAGCAAAACCCACGGAGGAAGACAAAGAGTCATCCTCGCAAGATCAGCCCAAACAGGAGGTTAAATCTGTGAGTTGTGGAGCTTCTTTTCTCTAACAGAGGAGGAGGAGGAGGAGGAGGAGAAATGGATCATATCAAAGTTATTAATAACAGTAGCTTTACAACCATGCATACCAGGGCTGGGAATACTTTGTTATTTTGCTACACTGTTGCCACCATAACATTTGAAATAGTTTTTGAACTTTAAATTAGAGTTTGAATTAAAGTTAATATTTGAAGGTTAAAACAAACCTCATCAACAAAAGTTACAAGAGCCCAGTTACTCTGTTCTAGCAGCCGCTCTCAACAGGCTTTATTTAATATTAAACAGATTCAAGCTTGAGAAGCTGAAAGATTTTTGTACTTTAATCCATAAGTTAGAATCAGTTATCAAACGTAGAATCTATTGTGTGTGGATACAATATTTGTGTCAGCACTCTCAGCTCTTTCGTGTGAATTCAAATAAAGAAAGAATTATAGTTCAGTAGCATTAAGAAATATTGTATACAAAACAGGTCAGAGACAAACGAGAATAATAATGCTGATGATTAAAGTTACATCTCAAAATAACAGACAACATGAGCGTATTTAAATGAACATTGTCTTGGCCATATTTCTGTGTTTACAAAGGGCACTTCCATTATTTTCGGTGGCTCTAAATAAGTTTTGTCTTCCACTGTGAAGGAAAGTCAGGCAGCTGGGGAAGACGAGGAAGAAGGAACCTCCGGCCAACCTAACGCCAAAAGACTGAAGGTGGAACCAGAAAAGAAAAAGGAGAAGCGCCACAAAGTTGATGAGGATGAAATTCAAAAGATGCAGTAAGACTGAGATTTCTAACAGACGATCAATCATATAAAAAAAACCCATTGTGTTGAAGTCTCATCCCAGTAAACATCCCCATGTTCTTCTTGTCTTTCAGGGTTTTGGTGTCATCATTTTCTGAGGAGCAGCTGAATCGATATGAGATGTACAGACGTTCTGCTTTCCCCAAAGCTGCTATTAAAAGGGTACGCATTTATTAACGTTGATAGTGTTTTTAATCTCTGAAACTACTCTACTGGCTTGACGTTTTTTTTTGTTTTTGTTTTTCTAGTTGATCCAGTCCATAACAGGATCATCAGTGTCCCAGAATGTGGTGATTGCCATGTCTGGTATTTCCAAGGTTTTTGCTGGGGAAATTGTTGAGGAAGGTGAGGGGCAGACTTACAAAATGGGGAACGTTCAGACCAAATAAACTGAAACATATGAAGAGATACATTTTATTTGTACTTCTCTGTGCAGTTTATATTCGACTATCATTTAGTAATTTGTCTTTGTCCTTACAGCGTTGGACGTTTGTGAGAAGTGGGGAGATACACCACCGCTGCAGCCCAAGCATATGAGGGAAGCAGTGAGGAGGTTGAAGAGCAAAGATCAGATTCCCAACTCCAAGTTCAAGCACATTCTCTTCCACTGAGGCACCTGTGCTTTAGATTGTATGGGAACTCTAACCGGTAAATGCTTGATGTAACATACAGTTCAGTAATCATACTCATGCATTACAGTTGTAAATACATTATGTTTTATACTTGTGAAATGTTTCATTCTTGTTACTTAATTAAAGAACCAGTGAACTTTCGAGAGGTTTTTTTCTTTTGGTGGTAAAATTGTGTGATGCCTTTTTAAGTTTAAATGTTTTTATCATTTTCAAGAGGGTCGTGGGTCAATAGGGTGGCCAGGGTATGATATGGAACCCTTTTCTAGATTAACAGGGACATTTGACTTTTGTTTATTCAGTTCAACTTTGAATTCTATTTAGTTCGTCTCACAATACCAAAATAAAATGTTTAAAATTGTGTTTGGAAATATGTACGTATAAACAAACTACGGACCACACTACTAAAATAACTGGCGTGAGACTTGAATGTACATGTTTCTGTAGACTTTATGACAAGAAGAATGTGGATGCAATAGATATTGTTACACGTAAACATGCATGTTCTGTTCAAACTTAGAGGCACAACTGATATGTGTTCAGCAATTAATCATTTATTCTTTCACTTTTAAAATATTTTCCACATACTAGCTTTGGTTCACAGAACCAGTTTTCATATTAGTCTCAATGAAGTGATAAAGACAATACAAAAAATTCAATGTAACTACACAACTGACAAAAATACTGTTCACAGGGTCTCCAACATTTGCGTCACTTAGGAAGATTTCACAAGGACTCCTCTGCAATCCCGTGAAGTGATTTACATTAAAACAAGTGCAATTTCCAGTGAATTTATCACACAAGTGCAAGTAATTCACAAGGCATAGAACTATACATCACTTCAGTACATGCATCTGCTTTCCAGTGGCAAACATTTTGCCAGGTCAGTCATACGAAAAGGAGAACGAACACTCATCCTGACAGACAGAACTCTGAGCACCGGTTTGTCAGCAGAAAATGGATGCTACTTAACACTGACTGAGGAGAGGGAAACTGGATAAACTTTACGGCTACATGTTGCATCCAGCATTGGAAGTTCAACTTCGTACCACTGTATCTTTGTCTACTAAGGCCATGCAAAAAACATAAACATCAAAAGCTGAGAAGATCACAACTATAAGTGATACTGAGGTTAAAGGGCAGTATCTCTGCTTTATTACACTGATACAGTAATAATGTGGCGTGTACACATGCAGATGAGAAAAACACATTCAATCCTGGTGGACAGGTATATCAGTTTTCTTTCATACTAGTCACCTTAAAAAATATGAAGAATTCCACATCAAAATGTGTAGTGTTACTGTTCTTTGTCATGTTTTTGGTTACACTAAAGCTGTCTTTCTATTGCTTAAATATTTTACATTCCTCTTCAAGAATGCAAATCTGTCATCCATAGCTTACAAGGTAACCAAAGTAAAAAAAAAAAGAAAAAAGAAACATGTTATTTTGAACGGGGAGTGCTCTGGCAAGTCACAGCCACCAGGGGTCTCCCAAGCACTCGATGGGACAGTGATGAATGGATGTGAAAGGTAGTTCTTCTAACAGCTGTGCAAAGATAAAGTACCTCCAAAGGATAAACATTTACAATAGAACATTTGTACATAAAATGTAGCTCATAGAGAGGTTGTTTTTATTAAGCATTCATAAAATGAATGTTATACTGTTAAATTCTCTTTGATGAACAAATCCATCATTGTTTGAATCCATGCATAAAACAGATTTATGCATAGAAAAAGGAAAGTAACAGGAATTTAAACGTCAACTGGCCTGATAGATCAAATCTGGAGCACATTAGGATTAAATTGATTGAAAATGACCAGTTTTTGTAATGAAACTGAGCATTAATATTACACTGTGTGCGCGCATACATTAGAAGTGCCACAGCTTTTTCCAATGTCATTTTCTTTGATTGATATGGCTTTAATACACTGTAAAGTAACTCCGGTCTAACAAAAACACATGCTTTGACAAATCTAAATAAATATACACAAGTAAAGCAACACCCTGAATGAGCTTTAAGTTTATGATGTCTGACCACTACACTACACTACTGTATATATGATAAATGTGCACAGAGGTAATAATAACACTAGCAGTCTGAGAAGTTTCCTAGCAAGCTAAAAAACTAGTTTTAAGGAGATCAAGTATTATAACTCTGGTGGCTGGTATAATACCAAACCTCTTTAAACCAGAGACTTAGAGTGAAAAGACTAACCCAGTTACAATACTGAAGCTACTGTGCAACCTGCTCTCCACAGCTGAGGGAGCGATCGAAAGGCGTGTCATCTTGAGTGGACATTCAACCACAGAGCACATTGTTTCACAGTTCAAAAGAAGAAAGACCAACATTTCACAACACAAAGAAAAATAACACTGGGGAATGATTCAACCCGTTTTCTGAGAACGGTGAGAATTTGATAAGAGTGTGTAACCATTCCACCCTGGTGATAAAGCAACCAAGGTGGAAATTTAGATGCCTCCATCTCTCCATGAAAGCAATGTTCTGCTTTCTTTAAAAAAAAAAAAGAAAGTGCAATGTTTTCCCTACCTTTTACAACACATTTGTAACAGCTGATAATAGAATACTTTTAAATGAAAAGGAACACACACACACCTAACAGAAGTAATCTACATTACTAAGTCTATGTAGCTTTATGACTATGCTATATGTAAATTAGCACTCCTCACAAAGCATGCGAGACAGTGATTTGTGTTTTGTAGAAGGAGCGCCTGATGGAGTAGCAGCTGTCTGGCAGTGTCAGTGTACACGAAGAGGAGGTTTTTGCATGTAATTAACTAGAGAGAATTAAAGCTTGATGATATTCACTTGCATGCTGTGTGACGAACACTGAAACCATACAATGAGTTTACTGTCAACACTGATTTGGATGATAAATAACCAGAATACTTTGTGTTTAATACAGAAGTGAGGAACAGACTAGACTACACTGACAGATAAAAAAAAACAGTACCATTAGTGTACCTGTAAGTTAGTTCCCTAGATTCCCCTTTTGGTAATTGTTATAGGGGCTCTTTTATAATCTCATGTAGAGTGTGATATAGCAAGTGGGAAGTGATCCAAAGCCATATCTGGGATTCATCTTATTTTCATACATGTCCAATGACCAGACATACTTTGAATGAGTTTTGCTGGTTCCTGACATTCAGACTGATACATCCCATCACTGTTCCTCAGCAGGAGCAGTGACACAGTTGGTTCAGAGGTGAAAGACAGGGAGGCTCAGAGAGTAAACGTGGGGTCATACTTCTTGACTTCCAGAAGGAGGCGTTCTCTGTCACTGAGGGCTTGGTTGAGAGCAGCCTGGACACCAGAGAGCTGCGACTCCAGGGTTTGTCTCTGTAACGGCAGGATTATTGGATTGGTTAGCTCCAGCTACAGCTAGTGTATGCTTTGGCTACGTGCTACACGCCAAGTGGGCGGATATCAGATTCTGACTGACAGCAACAGGTGTAATTACAACACCATTAGACAATCTTGTGTACTTAGTCACCTCTCTGTGCTGTCCATCTTAGAGCTGACCAGTAACAGGACACCAGTTTTACAGCTGGATTTAAGACCCAACAGATTACTGTAGATTTAAACATGAGTAGAATCTGTGAATCTAATTCAGCTGAGGTTAGAATATCTTGACCTGACCAATAAAAAATTAAAGAAACAAAAAGGCCCTGTGGAATAATACTTTAGAGCTATACACAGACTCATGGTTAATACAGTGCTCATATTCATTTACACAGATTACAATACAAGACAAAGAGGTCCTTTTTTTGTTGGATCCCTAAACTGTGACTGTGATACAGACAGGGCCAAAACTACCACTGAGGTCATGTAATCTAAATGTTTGGGGGAATTTGAATGTGAAAATAGTCTGCAGGATAATGATCAATGACTACATTAACTCTTATTTTCTGGTACATTATTTTCTGTGAGGTATATGGCTTTATATAAATATAAGTATATATGTATATATGCTTTTGGTGTGGAGAAACAAAAGGGTCATAGATGCCAAATTTGGTAAATAAAATAAAATAAAATAAAACAGTGCAATTCACTATCAGCACTGTTTAAAGAGGCCTCCTTTCTTTGCTTCAATGTTTTATTGTCAAATGCATATAAAAAACACTATTTAATGTAGTTAAATGTTGGGAATGTTTAAAAAGTACAACTTGGCAATTTATCTAACTGACCAAGCAAAAAAAACAAAAAACATCCTATCTAATAAAGCCACATGTAGAAGTGATGACCACAGTATGTCTAAAATTCTGACTACGCCCCTTGCAACAGTCACCCTTGGCTGACACATATACAGAATACGGTGCTGCTTGCTCTCCCCTACCTCACTCTGCTGTCCAACAGAGCAGGAACTGTTTGGGTCGTCCAGGCCAACCACAGGAACACCTGCTGAGGCTTTAGGGTCTGTACCTTCAGCTGCAATCAAAAAGGAAATGGTGGAGATCACTTTCTGTTCATCTTTCTGTGAAGTCGTTACAGCAGATATTGCCAGCTGGAGTGTTGGTGGTTTTCCAGTTCATTATCATGCTAATATTTGGGTGTTCCACCCAAACTGACAAGCATTACATTTCTCACAGTGCACAAACTTCAAGTAAAAACAAAATAATTGATTTTCTTGCTTACCTTTGAGCCTCATTAAGCCGTCATCACTGCGCTCAAGGAGCAGCTGATCTACAATGAATGAAGCTGGGACAGATTGAGGGGCTGTAGGGTAGATTTTAGGGCTATCATCCTAAAAGAAACAAAAGGGATGGATCCTGACTGTTAATAACACACCTCAACACTGGCTATACATTACTGTTAAAGATTGCAGTCTGTCCAAAGGTTCAATTCAGTTTACTGCATTTCACCACAATAATCCACTCAGTATTGCCACTGCCTTACAAGGAGTCCTGGGTATACTAAAAACAAATAAAACAATGGTTGATATCTTTCAATTAAGTGGATTGTCTTCAAAATATTTTATGTTAGAATTTTTTTTTTTTTGTAAAGTATTGAGACTAAAATCCTACAATAATATGATATAATCATATACACAATAATGTAAAAGGGATTTTTTTACTAACAAACTACTTATAACCAGCAGGATCAAAATTAGTTGACAGTATCAACA